TGCCACTTAGTCCATGACAAAATTAGATCCTTTGAAAAATAAAGATAATATTTCCATTATAATATATATGCTTACTTCTCAAAATTGAAAAATAGAGAATAGAAGAAAACCGAAGTTCTAGCATTCAGACATAATTACTTTTAACATTTTATTACCTTTCATCTTTTTGTTCTATGTGTAAGTTTGTTTTTTAGGAAATTCAACTATTGAGCATTTCTTAGGATATCACTCAGGGCACTGAAGGTTACAACTTCAATGAAGTACTCTTCAGATGCACAGTATCTACAGCTCCTTAGCAACTTTCTCCTTCCACTCTCAGCAGGGAGATCATATTCTCACTTTTCTCCTCCTCATCTCCTCCCATATCCCCCTCGCTCTCAACTGATGACTACGCGTTAAGGGAAAAAGAGACTTTACCTGTCCTTCTGTAACCAAGTCTAGAGACCCTGCTATAGCTGCACCCCTATCTTCTCTACTCCTATTACATTCATTCCTCAGCCTATGGGAGGCAAGTCCCAGCACATGTTAGCAGGTACCATCAGCACATGACTATGCTCTCTTATCTCCTACATTAAAAAACCTACACCATGCACATCCTTCCCTATCTACTCCTCATCTCTCTACTCCCTTTCACAGCCAAACTCGTTTAGTTGTCTACTCTGGCTGTCACTACTTTATGCTTCATAACTCATTCACTTTTTTAAGTTTTTATTTTCTCCAAAATAACTCTTTCACATATTTTAAAGAGTTAACTTGTTCTACAAGGTTTGTTGAGAAAATAGCAATCCCAGCACCCTCATCCCTATTTCTTTCCTAAAGACAACAGTCTTTAACTTTTAGTTTATACTGTTGATGTGTACCTCCACATTTATAAACAACATGTATTGATATGTCTTGATTTTTCAGTTTTAGACATTTCCCTTTGACTTCCTATCAGGAAAGTCAAAAAGAAAACAGGGATTTTGTTTTCTTTCCTTTCACCTCATCTTGCCCCCATTTCTAATTACCCCATTCTCCCAAATGAAGTTATAATTTTGGTTAGATCAATATTTATTTACTGTTTTCTTTGATTTGACCAATTTTGCTATTCTGAGCTACATCATAGAATAAACCATAACTACTTTTTATTTTCTGTGCTTTTTCTTATCCCTGAATTTCATTATGATTGATTAGTTTATCAATATTATTTATGAATATTTCATCCCCTGTCGTATAAATCTGTTATAATCTTCCTTCACCTCAGGCATTCCATCAGTGGAGCCTCTGACTGGCTCCAGTCAGGTCCGGTGGCCCTCTGCGTGGGTGCACAGCTATCATCCAGGGGATTCCTGTTGCCCATCTCTATTTCCTGTAGCCCATGTTTTCTGCTTTCTTGATTTATGTCCTTTTTTTAATGGAGCATATCCTTTAGAGGCTGCCTAAGAAAAAGTATGGAGGTAAATATTTTAAGATTTCACCTGTCTGAAAAAATTTTTATTCTGTCCTTTGATTATAGTTTTTTGGCTGGGGATAGAATTCTAACTTGGAAATAATGTTTTCTCAGAAGGTTCAGTCATTGCTCCACTGTCTTTTGGCTTCCAGTGATACTATTGAGAATTTTGGAGGATGTTCTCATCCTGCCGTTTAGTTCTAGGAAGTATTAAGTTAGATAGTTGATGGTTTTCTTCCTTCCACTTTCTGTAGCTCCTAAAACTCAGATGTTGGCTTTCAATTAATTGGACAGGTTGTCTAATCTTTGTAACCTTTTCTTTCCAGCTTCCATCTCTTTGCTTTTTTTAAAATTCTGCTTCCTCAGTGATTTACTCAATCTTCAAATTCTTCTATTGAGTTTTTCAGTTTTTGCTAACAAGTTTTTAACTTCAAAGAGCTATTGTTCCTCTGAAATTTTTTATGGCATTGTGATCTTTTTTAATAGCTATAAATTTATCTCTCTGACCATATTACTAATAAACAATTTTTTATTCTTCTTGCATACTCACTTTCCATCATAATCCTTTCCCTTCTGTTTTGACTTCCATCCTTAGTGTTAGAGAATTTCTTTAGATGTCTATAGTCCTTGGTTGTCTGCTTGTGTGGATCAGAAGCTCTTAACATGTGGGTCGTATTGGTCTACCCTGAACTTTTCTGTAGATTTGGCTGGGCTGCTGGTTGAGAAATCCTGATCTCAGTATTTTTAGGTGTTTCCTCTTGGACTGGTCAGTTTCCACAGAGAATACTCTTCTAGTCTCTCTGAAGGATTTGAGGGCTGGCTGCCAGCATTTAGGAACTGAAATGAGTGAGAGGAATGGGGAGGTCAGGACAGAGGAGATGGTTTCAATATTCAGTATACACTTTTTCCTGTAATCCCCCTGCTTTTGGTATGGTAATACTATCCTTAACGAAGTCTTGGTGTCCCCTGAGCCAGACAGCCAGAGAACCTGTTTTATCCTGTCCAGAAAATACAATTTTAGACTTCTGCCCAGGTAGTAAGAGAGGTCAGATGCCCAAAGGTTCATCCAATCCTTATTTTAGCCCCTTCCTCTTAATTCCCACTTCCAGAGATTCCTGGCCATTAATTCCTGAGGCTTTTGAAGATTCTTCGGGGTAAATTTGGTTGGTCTCAGCTTTCTCTAGTATTAGCTTAGGATTCAGCCTTTTCAGGACTGTGAAGTCATCCATCTGTTTTCCAGGTTCCCAAGTTGTGTTGCTGTTGTCACTCTTTCTGTTCTCCCAGCCCTTGTGGTTTATGTCTTTTAAAAACAACAACAATAAATCCTGCCCTGGCCCTTGTAGTTCAGTTGGTTGGAGCATCGTCTGGTACACTAAAAGGTTGCAAGTTCAATCCCCAGTTGGGGCACATACGAGAGCAACCACTTGATGTTTCTCACATCAATATCTGTCTGTCTCTCTTTCTCTCTCTCCTTTCCTCTCTCTAAAATCAATAATTAAAAAGAAAACATATTCTCGGGGGAGGATTTAAAAAAATCCCCTAGTGGGGTTTCAGAAGGAAGCAAAACTGGATGCATGTATTTAATCCACTTCCTTGCTGTTCAGCTCACTCCTGCCTTGTTTTCCTCTCCCCTGCCTTCCATCGATATTACTTGAGCTGAGATCCCTAGTGACCTCTAGCTTTTAGCATAAATGCACCTTTCTTTTAGTTTCCATTTACAGTGTCAACATTTTGAGAGTTGACCACTCTTTTCTTGAAATGTATCTAAAAACCTCCAGCTTTATTGTGAAATAATTCATGTTATAAAATTCACCCTTTCAAAGGCTTTTTAATATATTCACAAGGTTATGCAACCATCACCACTAATTCCAGAGCATTTGCATCACCCCAAAAAGAACCTATAAATGGAATCTTTTGTGACTGGCTTCTTTCATTTAGCATAACGGGAAACTCCTTTTTGCTGTAAAACCTCCTCCTGTACCTGACCTCTTTCTGGCCTAGTGCTCCACGCTGTGTTAGATTCTCTTCCCTTCTCCTCTGCTTCCCCTTTAGGCGGTCACATCCGCTTCCCTGGCTTGGAATACCACATGTGCCAGTGACTCCCAAATCCATCTCTTACCCTGATCTCTCCTCTGAGCTCCAGGCTCAGACCGTCATTTGCTGACTTGGCATCTTCACCTGGGTGATAACAGGCATCCCAAACTGATCATGTCCAAAACAGAATTCCGTTTTCATCCTGAGCCAAACCCACTTCTCCTCTAATTGACCTAGTTTTAGAAAATGATAGTACCATCCTCCAGTTGCTTAAGTAAAAAACTTAATACAATCTGTAAGTATATTTTGTGTGTATGTAATTATGTGTTTTAGTTCTGTATTGCTTACTAATCCATAAGCTGCACAAAGGCAGAGACAGTGGTGAGAGTGGCTCTTTGGTTCACCATTGATACCCAGTGCTTAGCACAGTACATGTAATAGATAATAAATATTTGAATGAGTGAATATACAAAAAAATAAAACTTAATTCTTGCTTTCAAGTTGCCTACAATTTTATTCGAGAAATCAAAGGTCCGTGTGAATTGTTAAAGACTATAACAAAGTACAAAATTAAATGTCAAAGTAAGTAGTAATGCATTGGGAGTTTAGAGGCAGGATGATTAGGGAAAACTACATGGAGACAGTGGGGATGGGTCCGTTTTGGATGGATGAAAACAATAGCAAGCACAGGCCTGGAAGTGAAACCTGAGTTGTTTAGGAGATAGTGAGACCACTGCAACTTCAGAAGCCATTTAAGGAAACAAGCCAGCCTGTCTCTTTGGATAATTTGATTGTGGACCTAATGGGAGATAGAATACACAGTATGTAGGAAGAAGTGCGATCCTAGAGCAAATGGGAAGAACTCTGTAGCAATCATACTGACATAGATACCCTAAGGAATCAGGTATTTCATATTCAGTCTTTTATTTGGACATCAGTATAAACAAAATTATGTCAAATGCAAATGTGAACTTTGGCATAAAAAAGAACAGAAAAATGTAAATAATCTATTTTGAAAATTATTTTGTTTGCAGTTGAAGAGCTCACTCATTATGCTGCAGAGAACCTTTGATCTACTAAATAAAAACAAGACCGGCATGGCTGTGGAGAGCTAGTGATCTTAAGGACTGAAATTGGACCGATACTTGGAAGTAAAAGAAAACATCTAGGAGAAAACCAGAGGATGAAGGATTTTCATTGTCATACGAACATTTCCATATTTTTTTCACTATTGGTACTTCTAATATGAACATTCTTTTAAATAACATTTATTTCATAATTAGTCTCCGATGGCCTTAAGAATCCATCCGTTTGCTTCTTATACATTATTCTAAGCTGTGAATTTCTCCAGTGAAGCATGAACTACATTGTGGAATTGAATTTCTGTGATGCAAAAAGAAAATGGGACGCTTTGGCCTCATTTTTACAGGGAGGTTTGAAGTTTGATGCTTTATTTGTTAGCACAGAATCAGTATGTGTCCAATTGGCTGCTTTCACAGTTGATATACATTCAACAGGCTAAAGACAATCAATATAAGAAGAAACCTCTAAGCCATTACGAATTTTGAAGGATCAGTTTTCAGGCATATACATTTCTAGATTTGCATACTGTAAATATTACAATGTCTTCATTTATTTAGCACAAAAATTCAATAGACTTTTTGATTTGCACATTGATGATAATTATCTGAAAAGTTCTTTAGTCATCTTCATGAAAGAAAGTTTTCTTCAAGTAGCTATCAGAGGTGAGATTATCTTGCCTCTTCACGCATCAAATGAATCGAAGACTCAATTTCAGAAAAGGAAATATGTAGGATACCAACACTCAAAATGAAGAATCATGCTCTGAGTTTTAAAAACCAGATTAGGTTAAAATCTGGGCATTTAGTAATCTAATAAATACTTGAACTAAGCGTGGCTTCGGCTTAGCAGTCTAATTTGTGGATTCGTTTTTAGTAGCCATCGATAGCTTCATTTATTCCTTCATGTGTGTGGCTTGTTTTAGTCAGTTGTAAGACACAAACTTTAGCTTTTTAATAAAACTCTGGGTACATTATTTCCCAATACAAGTATACTGACTGAAGTTGTAAGTCAGACACAAGCTTTGGCTCTTTCATAAAAAGGTTTTAGGCATATATGTCTCAATACAAGTGATGTCTCTGGAACAAGAGCAAGACAGTGCAGAATAATGTGTATATATTTGTACTGTTTCAACAACTATTACCTTTAAATTTCCTTTTTCCTCCCAGAGTTACCACATGGGATTGCTAAAGTTGTCTTTGAGATGCCTGTAGAGAATCAAAGTATTGACTCCATTAGAGGGAAAATGGGTTTCCTTGAGTGAATCCCAACTCAGCTACTTTAGGGAACCAGTGTACCTACCTGGGTTTGTTTTTGTTTTTTAAAAAAATAAGGATATATGAAGGGTCTGGCTCTGAGCAAGAGTGACTGGATTATAAACTTGAAACCTTGTTCTCTTAAATTCACAAAAATGATCAGTGACAAGCTGAATATTTTTGAGATGTTTCTGTAAAACTTGTACTTCAATACATACCTCAAAGAAAATGACCAAAGTTGCTTTATAAATTACGACTAAGCACGTATGTATGCAAAATTCAATCAATTGTATTTGAGTGTTATATAAAATGAATATCAATAAAACCCAGAATCTGAGTTATCATTTTTCTTCCTTTTCTGTTTGAAAAAAACCCCCACACAAAACAAAACTCAAAAAGTATGGTTTGCTGTTGTGAAAACATGTGCATGGGCCTACACTCTTTAAAAAATGTGTAAAAACCAAAGAGGAGGACTCCTTACATCAATTTCATTTCAAATATGCATACTGTTGGAACAAAAACACTAGATAGGCCTGCGGGTCTAATGAAGACTGCTCACTAGAAAAAAATTAAAATAAAATACAGAAGTTAGGTGGTCACCAGATCGGGGCAGTTATGGGCCTTTAGGGGAAGGCTAGCGGATTCGGAGCGGTACCTCGGTCACCTTAGGGCAGGCGGTGAGAGCGCCCCCGACGCCTGTTGCGGGCGCTGCAGGAGCCGGCGGACCCACGGGTTTCACGTACTTGGAAATCCTTGGGGTTCTCGGGTTTCCCCCATTTCCGTCTCGCCCCTCCCCGGCGGGTCTTTTGGAGCTGCCCCGCCCACGCGCCGCCCGCAGTGCAACGGTGGGGTCGGGCCGGGTCTCCGCGGGCCCTGGGCGGGGCGGAGGTGCGGGCCATCGGCTCCCCGCCGTGCGGGACCGCTCCCGGGAGCCGGTGCTCAGGTTCTCTCTCCCGTCCTCCGGGCTGAGGGCGGGGCCTCGCGGCCGGCTCCGCGGGGCGGTGGGCGGTGCACCGGCGGGCGGGGATCCCCGGCGCCGGGCGCGGGACACCAGGAAGCGCGCGCGGACTTGCCGCGCCAGCTCGGCCGCCGTGGGCGGCGGGCCGCCGAGTCGTCTTGGGCGTGGGCCCACCTCCGGGCGCGCGCTTGTGTCACAGTGGGGCGGCCGCGAGCGGAACGGAGCCGGGGATACAGCGATCACTCAGAGACCCTGCGGGGCGGAGACGGGCACCCTCCCGCCCCCTTGAAGACCCACCGTCGCTTCCTCTCCGCTCGGCTTCAGGGCTGCAGCCGCACTCGCCGAGCGCAAGTAACTTCCTTCCAGGTCATTCTCCTGGCGGCGGCGCTCGGGCCCGCCCACGTCCTCGCGTGGTGGGGGCGGAAGGGGCGAGCCCTGCGCGGGGCTGGAGGAGCGGGACTGGACGGCGACCCGAGCGCCACCCGAGCTGCTGGTGGGCTTTCCCGGAGCCGGGTCGTCGGCCCCTGCAGCCGGGCGCGTTCGCCGGCCCAGCGGATGCACCCCGCGTCCCTGCCCGCAGCCCCGAGGGTGAGTTTCCCTCGGCGCCCAGGTTCGGGCGGGGACCGCGCAGCCCTCCTCAGCCCACACCGGCAGGGGCGCCCAGCCACCCGCGTCCCGGCTGTCCCGGGGCGGCGTGGTCGACTGTCGCCATGGGAACGGCTGGACCCCAGTAGCCTGCCCTGGATGGGATGGGGCGGTGAAGGCGGCTCCACGCCTAGACTCTTAGAGCCTTAGTGCTTTCTGTCTGGCCAACCCGGGTCAGAAAAGCCTGGTGAAAATGGGACCCCCCCCCCTTCTCATTTTTGATTTCTCAGGCGTTGGCGTTTGATCAGAGAGCGGCGTGAATGTGTTTAGAAGATGTGAGTTGTGTGCTTTCCTCCTTCACCTGCTGAGGGCTCATGGTGACAGGTGGCAGTCATGACACAGAAGGGCAGTTTGAAGTCCGTGAAGAAAAACAAAGCGGAAGAACCTGAATTGGAGCCCCTGTGCTGCTGCGAGTACATAGATCGAAATGGGGAAAAGAACCACGTGGCCGCCTTTTTGTGTGATTGCCAAGATCTGGATGAAGGGTGTGAGAGGTAAGGGCAGACTGTTTCTCCATGCCGACCCCATTGACCCTTTGGAGAACTGCAATGTATACTTTCAGCTCAGCCACCCAGAACCCTGGGCTTGGCTCTGATTCTATTTCCAAGGATCTAGCATTGAGAGTAGTCTTCTACGTCAAGGGTAAGGATTTCATAAAGATGAATTACTCGGTCCTGCACAACTGTCTGTTCAGCTCCGTTTACTAGGACCTTATTTTTCATTGAAAGGGAGAAGATGGAGAGAACAGGCAGGTAAAGGGATAGAAGGCAAATTAAATGTGTAAAAAACATAAAATGCAACCCAGCAGAATCTGTAATTTTAGAAGGAGCACTATGCCAGAAAGTTCCTATGTTCTCAGGGATCTCAGTGATTGGAGACTGACTAGGTGGGACCTGGCGCAAAGGGCCTTGAGGGTGGACAGATCATTTTCCTGCAGTTGCAACTGGTCTCACCCCTTGTTATTGGGGAGGAGATCCAGTTAGGAAATGCCTCCCTCTCCTGCACTGGCTATTTTCAACATGAGTGGCAGCACTGTTTTGTTTGATGCTATTGTATTTGGCTTATTTTCACCATTAATCCAAGTGATGAAAATTACTACCCAGAACAATAATTTTTTAACATCACTGAAAGAATTTTGTATCAAACATTAATAACTTGGCTTTTTTTCCTTTTTCTAAGTAATATATTTAAACATTGTTGCCATATGGAAAGCATAATGTGGGAAGAATGAGAATGTTGGAAACTTGCTTTTCCTATTAATAATAACTCCTTCTGCATAAAAAGTCATTGCAATGGCAGATTGCCTATTTAAAACTTTGTGCATTAATTTAGTATGAAAGGCATCCTTTGGGACCACTGTGGTCTAGTACCAACCTTGACACCTGAATACCTATACTTCTTACTAGACAGTGTCTAAAACCTTTTTTACAGTCTTTAAGTATAGTTTCTTTAGACTTAGTCTAGAAACCCATGAGAAAATGGAGCACTTTGTGCTAATGAATGGAGAAGTGCTGCTTCCATAATCTCCATCATTGAAGATCGCAGCTCTTCTATTAACCTTCTAACTCTCCTCCCTCCCAGCTTTGAGAACTGGGCTGTGCCTGAATTCTCTGCTCTCTCCATATACTGCCCTGGAGATAGGCTCCCACTGCTCTGTATGACTCCCTCCCATATAGTTATCCTGCTTCCAAGTTCTAGCCCTACTTTTTTTTTATTGTCTAAAATCAGTGTGATCGTTCCTTAAACTGTTCCTTGCCTTACTAGCTTAAGTATGCAAAAAAAGTCAACAATATACCATGTGTCCTCCAAGCTTGGGTCATTTGACTCACACTAGTTTGATCTCCATTCTCCACCATGCAGACCCCTCCCCCTGATGAACGGGTTCACTCCAGGGGCCCAGGACGGATTGTGTGCCTTACACTGGAAAGCCTCTCACCCTTCCTCCTCGCATGTACAAATGCTAGCCAGCCGTCAAGGTCGAGTGCAGATCCCACCTTTTCCACAAAGACCCCTCTAAGGACTCCACTCAGATTGTTCACTCTCCTTTGAGCACTCCTTTTGATGTTTGGCCATCATAGTTCACTGGGTGATTTTGCTGCTTTGTCACTTACCTAATAATTCTTGAGTTCCCATGTTGTCTTGTCTTTACAACTGCCTTGTGAATTTGTTTGAGACTTTTATGTCTCTACACCCACCCAAGTCTAGACAGTATGTGTATGGAATGTGCATATTTATATGTATTTGTTTCAGGGAGAAGTCGTTTTAACTGTTAAGTATCTAAACATTATATTCTGGTTTATATTAAAAAATGACACACGATTTTGAAAATAGCATTTGCAGTAGTCAGGCAGTAGAATACTTGGCCTTTGGCCTCCTTTGTCATTTATCCAGCTGCTTGACCTACAGTGTTCATTGGTTTTTAATTCCACAAACCCACATGAAGTGCCTTTTCTTTGTGCTCTTTCTGAATAGATGGATTACGTGTAAATCTGTGCAGCCAGAGACTTGTGAAAGAATCATGGAAACAATCTCTGATCGCCTCCGAATTCCTTGGCTTCGAGGAGCCAAAAAAGTGAACATTAGCATCATCCCCCCTCTCATCCTCCTGCCCATCTTCCTCCGAGTGGCCTCCTGGCATTTCCTCCTGGGGGTGGTGGTCCTGACCTCCCTGCCTGTGCTGGCCCTGTGGTACTACTACCTCACTCACCGAAGGAAAGAGCGCACTCTGTTCTTCCTGAGCCTCGGGCTCTTCTCTCTGGGCTACATGTACTATGTGTTCCTCCAGGAAGTGGTCCCCAAAGGGCGTGTGGGGCCCACCCAGCTGGCTCTTCTTACCTGCGGGCTATTTCTGATCCTCTTAGCCTTGTACAGAGCCAAGAAGAACCCAGGCTACCTCAGAAATCCAGCCAGCGAGGACACATCTCTGGGCAGCAACCGAACTGAGTGCCTGAACAGAAAAGGGCAGAAGACCAAAGGGTTCCCTGGCGCGGATGTGTCGGGCATCCTCAACAACCGCACCCCGAGGGATGATCAGAAGGGCTCTTCCAGGTCGTTGGCTGGAAGCCCCACGAAGGCGAAGGAAGATTGGTGTGCCCAGTGCCAGCTCGTGCGACCTGCCCGGGCATGGCATTGCCGGATATGTGGCACCTGTGTGAGGAGAATGGATCACCATTGTGTCTGGTATGTGGGGAAAAATTGGAGGCTTGCCAAGTGTAAATTCACGTGAGACTCTAGCAGTGTTTGATCGTCCTTTGTATCATCCTAAAATCTCTCTCCTTCCCAGCTTTACATCTTGTAGATATTTGTGGGCTGTTAGGATGTTCCCACTTAGTCATCAGTTTTTCCTAGTTTCACAAATTTAGTTCTTTCACAGTCATTTCCTGAAGGTGTTTTTTCTTTTTCCTTTTTTTCCATTCTCTTTTGAACTGCCCCTCATTTATCTTCCTTCTAAAAGAGAAGCATCTACAGTTGAATGATTTTTTTTTAAAGAATTTATCAAAATCAGTGTAGGCTTATTTTCTCTGGAACACAGAGTGGATAGAGCGTCGGCCTGCGGACTGAAGGGTCCCAGGTTCGATTCCGGTCAAGGGCATGTACCTGGGTTGCGGGCACATAATCTACATTATTGAGGTGAGGTCTTGCCAGATAACTCCCTATTTGGTTATTGGTGGAGAGATGGGCTTTTTGGGTACCTACCCACTGGCCAGTGACAAATGGGGACACATAAGGCCTATAAGATAAGATGCAAAGGGCAACTCTTAAAAGTTAGCGTTGCAGCTCTACTGAGTAAATCTTAAACTAACGGGGGTGTAAGTAATTCAGATGTGATTGCCATAAGTAGCATGTTTGCAACTTTATTGCTCTTAAGGCATTCGAGGTCAATGAATTATGCTTTTTAGGACTAGGAATCTGGTTACCTGGCACACCTTCAGAAGGGGATGTCCCAGAGGGTAAGGTGCAGGAAGGCCAGAAGGCATTGGGTGGACCTCAGGTATAGGGACAGCTCTTTTCTGGGGCGTTGTCTTTAGGTATAAACAGGTACTTTCAATTTTAGATTTTCCACTTCTCTTTGTCATTTCTCTCTCTCTCTCTCTGGCCCATTTACGAGTTCTGGTTTGCAGAAGGCCTGACAGTCTCGCCCAAAAGAAGATTTCTACCTACCGGGGCATCCTGGTGTCCTTGTACATTCTGTCCTACATGTTCTACAAATGGCTGTGACACGGACTCTCTTTTATCTGACAAGTAGTCTGCATATCATCGAGTAGTTCTTCATTCCACACCAATCAGATCTTTTTACTAATATATTTTTAACATATAATTTCTGATGCTGTGTAACACTTCTTGATTTTTTTTTTTTTTTTTAGAGAGAGAAGGGAGAGAGAGAAACATTGATTTGTTGTTCCACTTATTTATGCATTCATTGATTGATTCTTGTATGTGCCCTGATGGGATTGAACCCGCAACCTTGGCACATCAGGGATGATGCTCCAACCTACGGAGCTACCCGGCTGGGGCCTGTGTAACACTTCTGATCTAGCTTTTTTAAGTTTACTATCATCCTTTTCGTATCATGGTAATTATAGTATTCACTCTCTTCATAGCTGGGTAAAGACTTCACTTACTAATATTTAGAAAGATTAATTAGCCAAGTTCTGCGTTTTACTTAGTCTTGTACTTAAATGAATGATAGGATTTCACTTTGTAAAGAGCAGAGATTGTAAGACTGCATCTCTCAGTGCACAAGTTTTTAATTCTCTAAAATTGAAAAGTAAGATAGCTTTTTGATGACTGGAATTCAGACTATTCCTGTTTTTAAAACTTTTTTGTATATTATTTGAGTTATATAGAGAACTTTTAAAAACATGTTTGTTTTCCCCCCTGTGCTGTTTTGAGGATAAACGGCTGTGTCGGAGAATGCAATCATCAAGCATTTATACTTGCCCTTTCGATCTTCTTGCTCACCTCGGTGTATGGGATCACGCTGACCTTGGACACCATTTGTAGAGATAGAAGTGTCTTCACAGCTCTCTTCTATTGTCCTGGAGTTTATGCAGATTACAGGTAAGCTATGGACACCCCAGCACGGAGGCCCAGGAGGAGGGAAGGGGTATGCCATTCACTGTAAGGGGCTATGATTTGCTACTAGGTTAGGGACAGGTTATGGGGCTTTTGAGTATCCCTGAAATTGCCAACAAAATTGTGCAGTGGATGAGTAGGTGTAGTTTTCTAGGGTGATGTCAAAAGGATCATTGACACTTCAAAAGGGAGGAACTAGTACTGCAGAAGTAGGACCAACCAGCTTAATCAGGGACTTCCAGAGTCAGATGACTACTCATATGCACAACCAAGTGACGGTAAAACTTGAACAGACAAACTAGCAGTCCTAAGGTGTGTATGTGGTCCATTTGGTCATAATCAGTGAACGCCTCACTTTACTGCTATTTCCTGGAGCTTTTTGGCCCAATATTAATTTACTGCTTCGGACCCTTTTGTGAAGTGTTTACAATTTCTATGACCTTCCTTTTCTATTTAACCTCTATTGCTTTTTCCTGTTCTACTTTTTTTTTTTTTTTTGAATTACCACTCATGATTACTGTGGTATCTAGGTCAAAATTTCCTTCAGCTTCGTTCGTTTGGGCACATTTCTAGATTGTAAAGATTTCCATGCTTTGGAAGAAGCTGGGATTTTTCGGCGTTGGCTCGAACCACTCCCTCCCCTGAAAGCCACTCCCTCGCCCCTCTAGCCTGTTCTTTGTTTTCAGAACAATCAATCCCTGCTTTATCCGCATAGTGTCCCTGTGCAGGTATTTGTTTGTATTAGTCCGTGGACAGATCTCCCCATTGCCATTACAGACCTAGACATTTATGGGCTTTATTAGAATAGATTGGTCCTCCTCCTCAGGGGTAATAAGTTCCTTTTTTTCCCCCACATTGAGTGTTTGTAGGTTGTGAAATTCTTCAGTAACTACTATTCTTAGTGGGTTGTGACAAATGTCCTAAAGCAGAGTCTGTCTGTTACAAAGCGTGAGTTCTGTAGACTTTCTGTGAGCCACTTAACAAAATAGCCCTGCCATTGGTCCTCCCTGCTCTGGATGGCCATTCATATCTCCCAGTTGAGCCTCGGTTTTTCTCATCTTTGCGGTGATTTAATCATCCCTCAGGTCCTTTTGGCTTAGATTCTGAATGAATTTATTTCCATGTAACTCATTTGCAAATGTTTGAATGAAAATCATCAGTTGGCAGACATTGATCAGTAGCCTCTCCTTACAGTCTTGTAGGAGCTGAAAGGAGCTGTCTTGTCCTGTGTTTGGCTGTAGGAAGCAGAATTTGAAATATGCTGGTGCTCCTACACATCGTACATGTGGAGGGCTTCTGGCGTTGGGCGTTGTCTCTGTATTTGTATTCAGCAGCCTCGGACTGAAAAAGCATGGAAATTAACTTCCCACCCACGGCTTCCTTGAGGGTGTTTATAGCCATCTTGTGGTGCCTTCGTTTTCTCCTGAGTTAAGAACAAGTTAGGAATTATTCATTCAACAAACAGATTTTGGATCCTGTTATGTCAGGCACTGTGTTGGTTGTGTGGGGGATACAAAGTGCAGAAAACAGTCTTTGCTATTCTAAGTAAAAAATACTGGAAAAAGAGGCACTAATAATTAAAAACTAAAACAGAAAAGTTTATTAATGGTCATAATTTAAGCAGGTTATTGGTATTTTGAGGATAGAAGACTATTGTCCAGTGGGATGATTGGGGAAGGTGCCAAAGTCCTCGGTAATAAGTATTACATGTATAAAATGTTGGAATGGGGACAGCTTTCTGAACGTGAAAGATTGGCAGCCCTGACCTGCCCATTCCCCCTCCCAGCTCGGCGCTGACCTTCACCTGCGTGTGGTACTCTGCGATCATCACCGCGGGCATGGGCTACATCTTCCTGATACAGCTGATAAACATCAGCTACAACGTGACCGAGAGGGAAGTGCAGCAGGCCCTCCGACAGAAGACGGGGCGCCGGCTCCTCTGTGGGCTCATCGTGGACACAGGCCAGTACAACAGGGGCTTCCTGCGGAACTGGCACCAGTTCTCCACCCTGGGCACCGCCCCGTTCCAGCACCCTGCCGAGGACATTGTCTGATGTGCCTTCTGTGCGCTCAAGGTGGGGGGGCTCCCCCCGTTCCCCTCCATCCTACACTTCAGTGTGCACTTGGGATGCTCGCTTTTATCCCTAGTTTCTTAAAGGCATTATAGGGCCACGCTCAGGTTGAGACTGGACTGGAGGAATGAATCTTTCTGACTTCACAGCCTAAGAGATTTTTATATCGAAGCAGTAAAAGTAGAGCCATTCCTTTCCAGGCGCCTTGTTAACTAACTCAGTCACCAGAAGCTGAAAAGGATGTGGATTGCTGATGCACAAATTGATCGAAGCAATTCCGTCCCTCAGTGTGGGAGGAAGAATCTTGGATTAGGATAGTTTCTGCTCCCTCTTTTAATTCCTAATAGCCATGTGACCCTTCTTTGAGTCACTTCCCCGAATCTCAGGTTCATTGGTAAAGTGGGGTCCTGACGTCTGCCCTGGCTTCCCCCCAGAGCAGCTGTGAGGTCACATGATGGATGAGATATGTGAAAAGCACTGGAAAATAAAGCACCAGAGAAGTCTGAAGTATTACTAGGAAAATCCCAGACTGAAAGAAATGTTTGTAGTTCCGAATATTGAAGCCATTATTATTAGAATAATCTCTTTTTAGGCATTTCAGAGTGAAAAAACAATCCCCAAATACCATGCTGTACAGCTATGGGAGTTTCTCTTTCGGAAGCATTACAGTGACTACTCAGACAGTGTAGCAGATGACCAGATGGATTTACAGTTATCTGGTCGTAAAAGGAGAGTTGATACCAATTGCGAAGCTAATTATTGCTGGTGTAATGTACAGTGGTCATGAGTTTGGGTGATGCATCTTACTTCTTAGGTATTTGTTGTTTAAATTTACTCTAAATAACTCTAATAGGCATTAATATTTCTTCCTCTTCCCATGTCTCGCGTGGTAAGGTGCTAGCTACACTGTGACGATGGCTGGAAGAGGAAAACAGGCACTCCTGCAGCAAACACTTTACCTTTCCTGGGTATGGTGGCCAGTTAATATTAAGGGCTTGATTTTTTTTGTTTGTGTAAGTGATTTGAATGCGGTCAGCTCTAGCACTAAGTTGCAATAATCCGTCTTCCGGCATTCACATTATTCTGGCATGGACTCTCTTCGAGGGGTTGATTGGCATCTTCCCCCTTAACTTGTACATTCTCGTTCACCTCTCCCATATAAACGTATCTCACCAAGAGAGATAAAACAGGGTATATGTAGTTCCCACTAATTAATGGATTACTGTTGTTCCCTAGTTCTTCCTAAAATATCAAGTTATTTCTTTAATCATATCTCAAAACTGAAAATATATGGAGGATTAAATATTTATGTATAATGGGTCTATTCTGCCACAGAATTAAGATGAGGCAGTTTAGGATGGGGAAGAAACCATCTTGAAATATTTGGTTTTGTATCTGTAATTTTTAAATTGAATTAATTGGGGTGACACTGGTTAATAAAATTATATAGGTTTCAGGTTATACAATTCTATAATACATCATCTGTATATTATATTGTGTGTTCACTACCCCAAGTCAAGTTTTTTTCCTTAATATGTTTTTATTGATTTCACAGAGAGTTAGGGAAAGAGAAAGAGTGATAGAAACATCAATGATGAGGGGAAATCATTGATCGGCTGCCTCCTGCATGCTCCCAACTGGGGATATAGTCTGAAACACGGGTCAGGCTCTGCCCGGGAATGGAACAGTGAACTCCTGGTTCATAGGTCGACGCTCAACTACTGAGCCACACCAGCCAAGTCAAGTTTTTTTTTTTTTTCCAAAGGTAATTCATTAGCTCTTAAATTCACCTTGATTTATAACTTAATATAGGGAAGATATTGCCAGGTTCAGTCTTTTTGCATGCTGTGTAACAAGAGGTTTATAAATGTTAAGGGGAAATAGGACTAACTTCCTGCAACTCTACCCTTTGAAGCTAGCACCATCCCTGGTACTGCCATTGATCGAGGCTGTCCCTAAGACAGCTTGTTGTTGCTCTTCCCAGAGATGGTTAACAAATGATAGGCTCCGTATTCCCCTGGGATGAGCCAAACAGCCAATCTGGGGGTGTTAGCAGAGGCTGTGGTTTCTACAGTGATGCATTCTCCCCGGCCTAGTCAAGTATTCATTTGGAATTATCATTAGATCTGATACAGCTAATTCCTTCTGTGTATATTTGCGATAAGAGAGACAGTAATAATGTCATGGACAGCACATGTAGTTGGAAATCTCTAGTTGTAGTCTCTTGAATGCCCGATGGATAGCCAACTCTGACTGTCCAGCAATCCTATATCATAAAAAGCCTGTGGTTGTGACACCCTCACGCTGTAACGACCGATCACCAGGAGGCTGCGTGCATGTCAGACATGCCCGGATGGGTGGGGCTGTGTGCACGGCGAGGCGCACGCGGGTGGGCAGGGACTTGACACTGCGTCCCCGCGGACGCTGGCGGGGACTTGACCAGGAGGCGCATCGGGGGAGTCCCACGGCGCCGGCCATGGAGTGGGACTCTGGGATTCAGGGGAGTCCCATGTGGCGCCGGCGATGGCTTAACGCTGCGTCCCCACGGGCGCTGGCAGGGGCTTGACACTGCATCCCCGCGGGCGCAGGCGGGTCTGGGTCTCGTGGGATTTCAAGGTGCACGCGGGTGGGCAGGGCTGTGTGTGTGGCGAGGTGCAAGCGGGTGGGTGAGGACTTGACTCTGGGTCTCGTGATGCCGGCGGGACTTGACGCTGCATCCCTGCAGGCACCAGCCCAGACTCTGACAGGAGAGAGGAGGGAGCCGGATATCCACACCCAGGACTTGACTCTGGGTCTCGCGGTGCTGGTGGGACTTGACACTGCATCCCCGCAGGCGATAAATTTATATATTATTTTCATATACATTTTACTAATTTTTTTTTTCATCTCTGACACTTCTATTATAGAGAAAGGGCAAACAGCAATATTAAAACATTTCCTCTAATTCCCTTTTAATGTGCATGAATTTTGTGCACCGGGCCACTAGTGCTTGGGACTCAAACGGTTAAAGTTAAGGTCCCTCTGAGTAAAAAAGAGTATTTCCAACGTAAAGGAGGGAGCAGGCAAAAATAATAGGTTCTCATGACTTCCACTGAAGTTTGAGCATATGACAGAGTCAAAACGAACATACAAATTAAAACAGACAGTGGACATTCAAATGACCCGAATCAACTGTCACTGTTTGTTCCAATAGCAGCAATGCTTATGTGATAATATAGTTTAACAGACATACAAAACAAGTCACATGATAAGAGAGGTTCGGCTTCTAAAGTAAATTGAATATGTTCTTTAAAAATTCTCATGTCCTCCCCTCTGACTATAATTCTTAATTTTCCAATCAGAAAATTACCCCAGGTGATCCAGTAACATGTAGAACTTCAGTAACCTAACTTATTTAAAAACAAACAAACATCACAACCATTTTTAAAATATTTAAATTGATATTTTAGGTTTTAAATTATAGAAGATATTTAGATCCAAATATATTTTCTGAATAGAAAATATTTCAGTTTTTGATTTAAAAAAATAAACATAAAAAATATATAAGTGACACATTTTCCCAAGGAACTCTGAATTAGTACCTTTCCCTCTAACTTTCTTCAAATTAAGAGAATCTATGGAGTTCCCTATACTGCACAAGTTTTAATGAAAGAAAATAAGACTTTCTAAGAGCATCAAATACATGTTTTGTTTACAAACATATACACTCCTCTCTCTCTCTCTCTCCCTCTCTCTCTCTCTCTCTCTCTCTCTCTATCTCTCTCTCTCAAATATATTCTTACTGATTCAGAGAGGAAGGGAGAGGGAGAGAGATAGAAACATCAATGATGAGAGAGAATCATTGATCGGCTGCCTCCTACACGCCCCGTACTGGGGATAAAGCCCACAATCCAGGCATGTGGCCTGACCTGGAATCAAACTGTGACTTCCTGGTTCATTGGTCAATGCTAAACCACTCAGTCACACTGGCCGGGTTCAATTCTAATTTATAAATTCATTCCAAGGACATATACAGCTTGAAAAGCTTTGGAAGTAGTTTCAAAAAAAACTAGCTTTTAAGTAACAAGAAAACAGTTATAGAAGAAAGTTTAAATTAAAAAAAAAGCAATTGTTTTGAT